GGGGGGTGCATGCAGCTAACTACATTAATCATACACGCACGGTTGGCACGCGCACACATGCACGGCGAGAGGTGACATGGGTTTGATAAGGGCATGTGCCAGTGAGCGAAGATGACATATCTTCAGCATTCATTGATGAGAGAGATGCCGCCGCCGCTGCCATATATGGCTGGGCTTGCAGGAGATGCGCTCTCAAGCAAGCCAGATGACAGAAGCCTGAAGTCCCCGCTTCTTAATGGGGGGGGGGGGAATCCATGCTCGAACGCATTTCGGTCCACTTTAGTGACTTTAATCAGTCTCCGAGTGGTCAGGCGCAGGGTACAGGTTTGGACAAGGAGAACACACATGCACAGAGCGTGGCCCTCTGCTGCTCATCACCACCACCACCATCATCACCATCCTCATCATCATTATCGTTATCGTCGGTCTAACCACAAGCAGCATGAAAACGTTAGAGCATGGTGCAACAGCGAGAAAAAAAGATAGAGAAAAGGGGGATGGGGGTGATGGTGGTGGGGTATCCAACATTACCTTTCATCCAGTCCAGCACCTGCTTTGGTGTCCATTTACTTATAGGTTCCATAACCAAAGCCATGGTGTCACAGTCTATCCGAGATGAACGGCGCACAGCTCAATGCGGGCGACATAAAACGACTTGTCAGTCACATCTGGAAACACGGAGCGGAGTGGCTAAATCTGAGGGGAAACCAGACGTGGTCGGGTTTATTCTCTCCATCGGAGCATGGCCGCCTGCAGAAAACGGTGAACTGGATGCGGTGGTGCAATCCACACGCGCACACACGGACACGCACACACACGCTTTTCTCCTCTTCTCTCTTCGCTTCTCCCTCTCCCTCCCTCCTCTCGTTCCCTCGCTCTCTCACTCTCTCGCTCTCTTTCTCGTGCCTTCCCGCCAGCCAGCAGCCCCGCGCTCTGTGAGAAGTGGATTCGGTGGGCGCACAGGGGATGGAGCGACCCCTCCCCTCCCTTCCTTCTCCTCTCCTCTTTTTTTCCCCTCCAGCCCGCCTCGCTGCAGCATCACTAGGGCCACCACTCATAATACAGACCAGGGAATGGTGCAACGCACACCATATAGGGAGGATCTCTCTCGGTCTCCCTCCCTCCTTGCCTTACATACACATGTACATATACACAACGTGGGAGGGGTGTCTGGGGGTTGGGGTAATGCAAACAGTAAATAAACAGCAGACTATGTAGCAGCAACACCCTGATAAATAATATATGAAATGCAGTGGGTTCTACTGAATACAAGAGACACGGTATAAGTAGGGCACTTGTGGAAATTTTCAGAAATGATTATTATGTTTTTTTTTCTTCCCAGCAAAGAAAGAATTCGGCAGCACGGCTTTGCAATACCACGTCTGCGCGTCAGCAGCTCGTGCCGCATCACATGGCAAGCAGGTGTAAGATTTTTCTTCTTCTCCTCCTCCTTTTTTTAAAGTTCAGTCTATGAGGAAATCAGCATCAACTTTGTCAGGCGTTGCTGCTCGCTGTGTGGACCCTAGCTGAGAGGAACAGCGCCCCCTGCTGCGTACCTGGGAACCAGGTGACGTCATGGATTACAGCAGCACCCGCTTCCACACACATCCACGCCACCAACTTCCACTCACGATAGATACCGTTTCAGGTCATCGTTTAGGAATGAGAGACATCTTTATTGATTCGGGAGAATTAAAAAAAAAATAGTAACAGTACAAACTGCTTACGTGACCCTTCTTAGTGGCAGTTTATATTAATAATGACTCTAGAAGTCATCTAATTGAAAACGAGATTCAATTATTGTTTTATAATATTTGCAATTGACAGGCAAGTCTTTGTTTCATTGCCATAGATTCAAAGTAAAACAAACATCAAATATCAGTTTCTCATACAGAAAAATCTCTATCATAGAGGTATCTTACAATAAAAGCACCTTGAGGTGACTGCTGCTGTGATTCATTTATGTCCAAAAATGGTAATTGAATAGAAATCAGCACCTATTTTGTTTATAGCACCGAGTCTCCGTGTTGATTGTTAGTGTTGCCTATAAACTCCTTGGCTGTAACAGGTACTGAAAATCAGCTACGTTGTGGACCTTGCTGAGAGCGCATCCAAACTTATGTTAGATGAGGTGCTTAAACTTTATTATTATAAACAGTAATTCAGTTCACATATATATGTTTTGTATCTTCATTATCATAACAAATTCATATAATGAAAACATATGTGCATATTTACACCATCTTAAAGTTTTATAAGTGTAGATTTTACATCTCCAAAAGAAAATTCTAATATTCAGTGAAACGTATAATAACTAATAAAGACCTTAGCCAGAACTCTAAACACATCTGCAATCAAACAAAGTGTGCGTGGGGGGGTTGTTGTGTTGTTGGTTTTTTTTGCAGCCTGTAGTGAAACAGTTCCTCCTTGTGCAGTGTTGTAGAGGGCAGCTTAAGTAAGAGATATCCAGGTGAAGAGAAAACGAGGCATTCCCCACCCAAACTTTCCACTGCTTCCATGTCTGTGACCTCCTCCTTCCAGCAGTCCTGTGAACAAAGTCAATGGTGGGCGGGACTACGGTGCTCAGTTTTCAGCCAGTTCCGAACGTGACAGCAATGATCTCGAGCTCCCATTGGCTCCTGTCTGCAAATACGTCACAATCATGATTAGAATTGATGATCGGACGTTCTGATTTCATTGTCTAGCAAAGGGGACTGGTGAAGAAATCTGCTGAATTTGAGCGTTCGTCTGATTTTAACATCAAAAATGGTATGTAGGGACGTGATTTTTCCTTTTTGCTTCAGGGTACCCCAGAACGCTCTGTAGCCTGGTATCCACTCGAAGCCAGGGTCAGTGAGAATGATCCTGCCGCGGTCGGGAAATCACAGATTTGAAGGAAAAGTTTAGCTGCAGCTATCCATTGGGAGAGCTATGCTAATGCTAGCTACCGTTGGCTGGCTCAGACATGGCCGCTCGGGCCTGCAAGCTAACGTAGGCTGTCTGTGTTGCCATTGTGACAAAGCGGTTCTTACCCGGTCAGTTTACTGTGCGGGTTTTCGACCGTAAAGTTATGGCACGAGCCTCCCGTGCGGTAAATCCGCGCCGGAGTCCGCCGTTTCCTGACGTGCCCACAATTTGTTTGCTAATTCTCTCCTTAATGTTTCCATATTGACTGTAGCCATGCGCAGTCAGCCTTTCAAAATAAACCTGCCGCCTGCTTATTGGTCGCACAACATTCCCGTATGTGACTTTTGTTTCAAACAAAACATTTCCCAGCTCCGCTTTAAAACTTGTTCGCCTTTGTTTTTCCAGCGCTGTGAAAGTCCGCGTGGGTTTTTTTACGCTAATTTGGCTACCGCTGTTTTCTTCTTCACGACCCCGTCCTAACGCAGGACAGCGCTGCTACGAAACTTGCACACATTTAAAAGTCTCACATTTAACTCAGCCATGTTAATAAATCAGTTTGTAACAAATGGACAAAGTTACCTGTGTGCCACTTCATTACTCATGACGGTGTGTACAATTAAATTGAAGGCTGAAGGCTCTAACAATTACCAGGACTTTCAACAGGACCATTTGTTTTGTTTTTGCCAAAAGTCAGGCATAACGTTATAATTTATAAATATGTAATTATGACTTTTGGATTTATTAAAGTACTCTTAGTGGTTTTCATTTGATAAAACAAGTACTTGTTTTGATTAGTATTTTGAGTATTTTAACTGCACTAAATTTACTCAGCTGCTCAAATGACTGAGTACTGTTATACTATTATAGTACTGGACTATTATAACATTTATGCCCTGTGCCCTCTTTCCTTTGCATTCTGCTTTCAAGGAGCCAGACTGTCTTTTAATTTTGCAGTTATTCGAGAAATAGTTCTGCAAGATTTTCAAAGTTTTTCTTTTGAAATTGTTTCTTTTTTTCACTCTTTTCCAATCCAGTTGGTGCACCTGAGCATTTTCAGAGGGATGCTGTTTTTGTTTGTTTGTTTGTTTGTTTAAACCACTTGACTATGACTCATTCAAGCATAAAAAAGGTTCTTAACTCAATAGATGAACTGTTTTTAAATTGTTAAAATGTTATTTGTTACTAGCAGTCTGTTGCAGAATCACATAATTTGTTGTCATTCCTTTAATTTAATTCACAAAAAAATCCCAAACATAACAGAGTTTGACAGGTGATTCCTAACGAGAGGTTAGTTGACAACTTGGCATATCTTGGTGTGGTGTGCACTGTATCCAAAAAACAAAAACAAATGTGAAGAAATTGGACAAATAGAGGTTGAAAGAAATGATGAAAAAGCCTAACACAGGACCTGAGAAATGCATCTGACCTTCAGCTGAATCATCTGTTGTTCAGTGAAGCCTCATTAGAAATGGTCTCAGTTGTAGGAAAGGAAGGAAAACAAGGAGAAAGAGCAAGAACTGGACTGAAAATCAGTGGCAACAGGTCTGATGGAGTGCCGAATCCAAATTTGAAATTTCTGGTTCAGTTATGAGAGAGAGGTATGACAGTGAGGATTTACAGCCATCTGTAAAAGACAATGGAGGCTCTGTCATGGTTTGGTGCTGCATTTTAGTTGGTGGTGTTGTCATGCATGGAAGATGTCTGACTGTCAACAGCTTCATTTTTCAGTATGGCAATGATCCCAAAACAAACTGCCAAATGAAATAAAAGCATATCTGGATAGAAAAACACTATCAGTCATGGATTGTCCTCCCCAGAGCCCAGACCTCAACATTATTAGAGCACTGTGGGATGAATTTGACAGAACAGAACAAAAAGCAGCCAACAAGCAAAGAAAAGGTTTGAATGCGCTTCAGGAAGCCTGGAAAACTATTCCTTAAGACTACCTGAAGAAATGACAAGAAAGTTTGGCTCAGGGAGTCCAGGCTGTGCTGAATAATGAAGGTGGTTGCACCAAATATTGGCTTTAAAGCTGTACCTCTGTTTTTGCCTTATATACTGTATTTATATATTTATATAAGGTGAACCATATGTGCATGTTTCAGTTAATCACTGCACTTATTTCCTATTTTTCTAGCAAAATATAAAGAAACGAGTGGTGGCACAAGACTGTTTTGTTACGTGTGTGTGTGATAAAAGTGATTTAATTTCTGGGGGTTTTTTTTTCAATCCACATTGCTAAACGGAGTAATGTTTTTTTTCCTTTTCTTTTACCATTTATACTCTTTGTTTACACTTTGCAAGAAGGTGTTGTCTGCTTTGTTTTCTCCTCAGCCACACTACCCAGCGGCATGTCGGGTACACTGAGACAAAATGGGTACAAGCAAAATAGTGCAAATGTAGAAATACTGAGGTTTCGCTTTGATCTGCATGGCTGCCCCATTCCCCTCCAGCAGTAGAATGGATGCGTGGCCACAAAGGCGTGGCCTGCAGACAGTGAGTACATCAAGAGTTTCTGTTGGTTTTAGCCAAAGAAAGAAAAGAAAATTCCATAATTAAATAATTAAAATTTTAGCGAGCTGGGACTTAGTAGTAGTAATTATCTTTCCTTTTCCCCTAAGATGAACCTGCGGTCAGTATTTACGGCTGAGCAGCAGAGGATCCTGGAACGTTACTATGAGAATGGGATGACCAATCAGAGCAAATCTTGCTTCCAGCTAATACTGCAGTGTGCTCAGGAGGCCAAATTGGACTTCAGTGTTGTCCGGGTAGGCCCATAAAATGTGCTTGTGCGTGTGAACGAGCAGTAGGGAACCCTTTGCTATGATTTATGCTCTGTTTCGTTTTTATTAAGGAATGTTCATGTAATGCCGCAGCAGGTAATCAAGGCAGTGAGTCAGATCTATACAATGCAAGCTCTTCATCTAGTGTAGAGTCATAAGTTATTGCCCTCACTTAGCAGAATTAGTTCCCCTAATGTTTTGCAGAATGCTTTTTTAAGTGATGTTACTGAGCTGATTGCTCTTTCCCTGCAGACATGGGTTGGCAACAAAAGGCGTAAGCTCGCCTCCAAGGTTCCCCAGAATGGAGGGGTGTCTCATTCCTTATCTAGTCATGGACTAGCTGGGGGAATGCTCTCCAATCACACATTGGCCGGAGGTGCTTTGTCCAATCACAGCCTAGCAGTAGGAGCGCTGCTTCCTGCTGACATGACTGCAGCACGGAGCATCCAGAACCGCGTGCACCTTCTCCCTCCATCCTCGTCCTTCCCTTCTGTCTCGTCGACACCTTCCCCGCCCTCATCTTCCTCACCCCTAAGCAGTGGAAGCAACAACAACAATGATGTAATACTAACAGGGATCTACTCTCTGAACTCTGGCCCTCAGTCCCGACCGAGAGCCGCGGCCCCACCGCCTCAGTCAGACTCTGACCTCTCTGCGCACACATCCTCATCTCTGATGAACCAGGTGCTGCAGATCAGGAACAGTTCCTCCTCCTCCTCACCCGTCCACTCCAAGTTAGTGTCACTTTCTCAGAATCTCCCATCCCTCACTTCTGCCTCAGGGCCTTTAGTCTACACTGCAGTCAGAAAAGGCGCTTTATCCCTTGGGGAGGGGGGGGTAAGCGCAGGAGCAGGGGTAGTACCTCACAGCTGGACTAGACAATACGGTACAGCGCAAATTCGCCCTTGGTCCTCTTCCTCACAATCCCAGACTCAGCTTCAGCCCAGACCTCACTCCAACCCACAACCTCAGCCGCCTGCTCCGCAGAAAACTCGGGTCTCCTTGCCAGTTCACAACGCCGGCCCCTCCTCTGATCAGACACCTCGTATTCAGCAGGTTTTTACCTTGTCAGAAAAGGGCGACAGGGACCGCCTCAGACCTGGACCAACATCAGCTCGTAAAAGCCAGGAAACCCACAGGCCAGCACCTCTGGACAACAGTCATAACTTCTCCATTGCCATGGAAACTGGAGATGAAGAAGATGAGTGGCAAAGGGAAGAGGAGTTGGCAAATATGGCTGCTCAAACACACATCCACAGGGAGCAGACGTCAGCCAGCCCAATCGGGGCCGAAGTGTCTGTCGTGCGAGGAAACCGCACACCTCCGATGACGAGCTCCAGACCCGCATTGCTTCAGGGCAGCTACTCCCTCACAGCACAGACCTCACTTACAGGGGAATCCAGCTCACAAGTAGGAGCGGTTTTATTGCTGGTACATTCGTCCCTTTAAGTGAGTTGACAGATTTAACCTGCGTGTCTTTGTGTGCAGACTGCAGTTGGTGTGTCTGCTGCCCCCTGGGTTATTAGCAACTCTAGAAAGAGAACAGTAAGCGCTCTAAAGCACCACATTTATGCACGCATGTAGGATGCTGGAAATAAGTAATACAATTATAGATGCGAGACATGTAGTCAGACAGGTGTTTGTGTTTTCAGCTGCAGGATCGGACCCAGTTCAGTGATGGGGATCTTATCCAGCTAAAGCGCTACTGGGACCGAGGCATGACCAGCCTGGGCTCAGTGTGCAGGCAGAAGATCAGCGCTGCAGCAAACCAACTCAATGTAGACACTGAAATAGTCAAGGTAGCCAACTCAACAGGAAAGAAATAGCTTAATGTATTCTAGGTTTGGAAGAATCAAAAAAGAGACATGGCATTGCACACGCTACAAAACAAATGGTAAAGCTTTGGGTCTTCAGTTGTTCACTTATTTATAACATTTAGTGGAAACAGGACTATTTAACTTGTCTGAGCTCTTGAGGGCTGTTAGAAAGGAGAAAAGAACAACTTTTCTGGGTCAGGTTTTCTAACTTACTTGCACAATGTTGTGTAAAAGTCATGCTGTTATATATCAGGGCCACAGCAGGAATGCTGGTAGACTAAATATAGTCTCTAAGTCCTGACACACACACATGACCCTGTGCCATCTCACTTACAAGGATATTTATTGCAAGGAATAAAACGTTTGCCTTCAGAGACGGTTACAGTAAATTAGGATAATCTTCAGATCACTGCAAAAATAATTTCCTTGCTGCGGCTGGTGCAGTTCACCATCTGACCTTGCCTTCTGACTTTGGTGATTGGATGAATCAGTGTTAGAGAATCTTGTTACAGATCAAAGAGGCAGTCCATTTGTTTAATAAGCGCACTCATAGAAAATCCGGGTATGGAAGTACACCGGAAACCTGCTGATACTTATCCTGGTCTCCCATTTGTTCTCACATGATTTACAGACATGGATCAGTAACAGACGGAGGAAGTACCGTCTGATGGGTATTGAAATCCCTCCACCCAAAGGTGGGCCTGCTGTATTCACAACCTCATCGCCAGGAAACCAATCGCCAGTGTCCCTCAGCCCTAACGAGGAGCGTCTCAGAACCCCTGAAATTGGAGATGACATGAACGATGGCGGCTCTGTGTGCCTGTCTGAGGGTGAGGCCGCTGATGCCGTCCACACATTAACACATCCTGTGTACAAACCATGCATCTCGGCATTTACGCAGTATCTATCTCAAACCTAGATGGCACCATCGATTCACAACACAGGGATGGAGAGGATGGAAACGATCTGCCCAATGCTGCTCCAATGGCCAATAATGTGGTACTTTATGAGTTCTTCTTTATATTAGAGCCTCATTAGCTTTTGTGATTTGTAGAATTCATATTAACATGTAATGATATGAGTTTAGCAATTAGGCTGAGAGTTGTCTGCTAAAACTTAAGCTAGTTTGGTTGACAGCAACTATAATTCACTGCAGTAGGGGATGCTTGGAGTGCAGTCTGTTTACCAGAAAGACTAAACCGCTAACTCCTTATAATGTCTTTCAGTACAAGCTTTAAAAATGTTGAAGATTTTAACATGCAAGTCTGTGGATGTCAACTCACTTTTAGAAACAACCTCGGGTCTCCATTAAAGGAACTGCACATAGCAGTGGCTACATTTTTCTGAGTCTTCAAGGTTGCCACCCGGTGACTCGCAAACTTACATCACAATGTGCAATGTGCTTAGTCAGCCTTTTTTCAAAGTGGACTTTTCAACATTATAGTAGAGCTAATATTATGTTCATGCATTAAGCTTTAGAGGATTTTAATTAGTACCCAGGAGAAATGTAGCAGTGTATAAAATCAAAAGCAACCTAGTGACAAATGCAATGCTTACAAATACATTTCTTGACCAATCGCAGGCACATTTTTTATCTTAGCTTGTTGTGATTAAAGGGTCACCATGTAGCCAATAATTATATTTATTTTTCTCTGCCTCAGCTCATTTTTCTAAATAATAGTTCTAGAGCACTGATTAAGATGGCTGTTGAGTTATTAGGTTTTAAATGAATTAGTTTAAAATAATTGTAAAAGCCTTTTCATTCTCATTCTCTGGATTATTTATTGACGAGGATGATGGTGATGTATTGTTTACTTAATTGAGGAGACGCTTCATGTAATGTGTATAAGGGTATAATTATTGCTCATTTCCAGAGTTTAAAGTTATTTGATGTCTGTGTTTTTTAACAGAAGATCGAAGTGATCGATGAGGACGAGGAAGCCGATGAGGATGAATTAGTGGCTTCGGACCTTGAGCAAATGCAGAACTTGCTGGAATTCAAGGTGAAAACACCCACACAGACTGTGACACATTCACAAAGCATTGCTTACGGTGCTGTAAAAGCGGCAAGGATAAAATGCACGATGGTAAATGTGCTGTAACCTGAATTAGCATGATTTTAAATTCTGAATGGATTCTTTGCCTTGTTTGGATCCTTCTGTTTCAGCATGAGGAAGTCCAGTTCTTGGAGAATGAGCTAGAGAACCAAAAACAAAAGTACCAGGATCTTGCAAGCTTCACAAAAAGCCTGCTCAGTGCTGTGAGGAACAATGACCTGGAGAGGCAGCAGGTATGTTCACAGTCTTGTTTATATGTTAAATGAGAAAAGCTTATTATCAGTGTCTAAGCTGAGTTGTGCCGTGCATGTTTAGGAACTCATGGCCAGTCTACCTCAGCCTTCAGACCAGGAATGGGACATGACCGTGGACAGAGGAGCCCAGTCTCCTGCTGAGTCAGCAGATGAATCCTCCAACCACAGTAACCCCCAGGCAGCCGGCACGAGCTGCAGAGACCCTCAGCTGGCCCAGGCAAACGAAGTCCCGCTGGTCACCATGATCAAAGATGATACTGATGTTACTGAGCCCTCTGCATCAGAGGAGCAAATGCAGGAAGCAGAACCAGAGTGACACAGACACACACACACACACACACTTATAGAGATGTTTCCTCACTCCAAAAAGAGGCTTATTTCAAACTATAGAGACTGTAGTGTCTAACAATTACAAAAACACTCTTGGAAAAGTCACACTCCACGCCCAGTGCCTGTGGATTGACACTTCACTTATGACTGTTGGGCTTTTTTACTGCATATCATTCGCCTTGAGAGAACAATAAATGACCTCTAACTTAACTTTGTCTCGTGTTTTGTTTTTCTCATGTGAGTATGAGTAGGAAATTACTAAGGAATTTAAGCTGTAAAAATACAACTTCTTAAAAACATTAACAAACTTGTAATTGCAACGATCGCAGCTGCATACACACACACTGCTACTGGAGCTCCATCAGTATGAGTTCAGTTAATTAACTTCAGTGGATCCAGAATGCTGCAGTGAAAGTACTGACAGGGACTCCAAGCATACAGGCTTGAATAATCAGGCCCCATATATCTTCATCTTATCTCACCCCAGTAGAGCACTTTGCTCTTAGGCATTTGGCTTACTACTGGTTTCTAGGGTATTTAAAAGTAGAATGGGAGCTTCAGCTTTCAGGCCCATTTTCTGTGGATGTAACTCACAGTTTGGAATCGGGACACAGACATCCTCTCTAATTTCACGATTAGGCTTAAAACTTGATTAAGCTTATAGTTATGGTTGAATCAGGTGACCTCAAACCCTTCCTTAGTTACACTGCTGTAATAGTTGCAGGCTGCTCAGAGTTGGGTTGAGCCTGGTTCTGCCAGATATTTCTTCCTGTTAAAATGGAGATTTTCCTTACCACTGTCGCCAAGTGCTTCCTCATAGGTTTGATTGTTAAAATACTGTTAGTCTTATTGCAAATACTGGTATTTATTAACAGATTAGCACGTAAGTTTTGACCTAATGTATCTTGACTTGTACAAGGAAGTATTAATGGCCAAATATGTACACTAATATATATTTAAATAATTAAGCGGTATTGTTTAGACTGAAGAAATGCGTGTGCCAAATCAAATAGACAAATCCACGCATGTAGTCGTTCACTAAACAAACACGGAGCATTTGTGGGTGGGAGAAAGCAGCAGAGAAAGCGGAGAGCGTTAAGCCTCTTATATGCACTTAAACCAGGGATGGAAAGGCTTATGAAACAGTGGTTTTAAAACGTACAGCTCGCACTGTTAAGATCACTAACTTACAAATCGTTTTGCGCTTTAATTTCATCTTGCGTCAACAGCAAGAAAAAAGCAAAAAAATAACTCCCTGCCTGCCACAGTCACGGTGACTAACTATTTCGATCGCTAGCAAATAGTCCATCAACCGGATGTGTGCATGTCACACACAGCATCAGGTCCCCGCGCCACCACGTCCACTCTCCCTCCTCTCTATCTCGAGACCTGCTGCTTTGGTTTGGACGGGGGAAATCCTTAACTGAATTGCGTCATAAATACGTCAATAAAGTCCCATTCACTGACGATCAGGTACCACGGTAGCCGCCATATTCGCATCTATGGCAGGGTAGCGGTGCTTTCGGCGAGCGTGTGATCCAGTCATCAACATCGACTGTTCCCTGCGCCGACCCTCCAAACCTTTCCTCGGAGCGGCCCGCGGTTCCACAGCCTGCATCGGAGCATCGAGGCAGAAAAAAGCCGGACTTCCACAGAGGGTGGTTGGGGGGGGGGGGAAAGACATGCAACGTGGAGCGGGGGTCTAGGTGGACTACGATGCCTTAGACTTGGAGAGGAATCCTGGTACAAGATGGAGGTAAACAGCGTTAGTAGTGAGGTGAGTTGACAAATGCGTGTTTTGCATGTTAATCTCGCCGCGTTGCTTTTGGTTTGTGGTGTCCCGTTAAGTTATCTCGCCCTGCTTGTCTCGGCAGAGCTTAAATTCGCATCACGACCTGCAGCGCACCGTGATGCATGCTAACGCACTAGCTAATGCTAACAGCTGGTTAGATGTTTGTTTTTATTGCTCTGCCCTGATTTTTTTTCTTATTAGTTTAACACTTACCCGTCCCGTCTTTTACCACGGCTCATCATTCCGCACCGACACTGGTGTTTTTACCCAATGACAGGTGCCCGTCGCGCATCTTTTCCTTGTTATTTACACTTCTCAGGAGGAGTTTACCTCCTAGCTAGCTTAGCGCTTGTAGCATTAGCAGCAGCTAGCTTGATAGCTGACAGCTTGCAGGCTTGAAAACTTGGGAGCCAAGTTGTTATCCAACCTCTACTGCTTAAGTAATAAAAGGTTGCTAAAGTACTTTAGTCTGTGTGTGTAGTAGTTAGGCAGCGCATGAATCCAGTCACTGCAGTTTTTGGTTTTTGGTTAAAGTTTATCATTAGCTGCGCTAAATCGGTCAGTCGTGTTTACTGCTGAAGGTTGGCTTGTCAGCAGTACTTGTGAATTAGTGATGCTGTTAAAAACTTTGAACAAAAACTGTCTTTGCGCAGCTTTATAAGTTATAATTTGACCAAAAAAGTGCACAACGCGTTTAACAATGGACTAACAGCGGCAATAAAGTGACGCTGTGACTGAAAATTGCTCTACTGTTTATCACCGTTAGTACAAACCAGTGATACCTTTTTGCAAAGACATCCAGCAACAGTCTTGTGATAGCTGTGGGAAGGATTCAGTTTGCTTTTTTACACGGGCTCGGTAATAAGGTTTTCCCATTGCAGCAAAGCCAACTTGACATCCTAAACCTCATTTCTGGGATTCTTTGCACTCCTTTCACATTTACACACTGAAAAAGTCCGTCTGGCAGACTTCTGTGACTTTCGTAAAGTCAACAGAAAGTTACTGAAACATCCCGGCGTTGTTTGAACTGACTCTTCCATTTTTATTGAGGTTTCTCTTGGAAACTTCTAAAGCTTTTTGTTAATCTTTCATATAATACCTTTTATAATAACTTAATCAGCTTCATGGCCCAAATATGCTTTTAATAATAATAATAATAATAATAATGGATTGTATTTTTATATAGCGTTTTTTCTCACCCCTCAAAGCGCTTTACAATACCACTATTCATTCACTCTCACATTCACACACTGGTGGAGGCAAGCTACAGTTGTAGCCACAGCTGCCCTGGGGCAGACTGACAGAGGCGAGGCTGCCATATCGCGCCATCGGCCCCTCTGGCCAACACCAGTAGGCGGTAGGTGAAGTGTCTTGCCCAAGGACACAACGACCAAGACTGTCCGAGCCGGGGCTCAAACCGGCAACCTTCCGATTACAAGACGAACACCCAACTCTTGAGCCACGATCTGCACTTTTAAAAAGTTTTACTGCAGACAAACACTTGAATTTGCTGTTTACTGTAAGCTGCAGCTTTGAAGACTGTGAGATTACAGAAGTAAATATCAGCTGAGCTACCTAAACCAGAGCAGTGGTGATGCTGGCTGTTTAATCAACACTGTATCAGTTCTCACATAAAGCACTTCTTTTTTCTCAGGCCAAACCCTTGTATGCCAGTATAAGTGTATGCAAAATGATATTATGTAGGATTGTCAGACATCAGATGGCTGCAAAAGGCTGGCCTGGTTGCGCTGAGTGTAGGCTGCACTCCCATTACAAGCTGTGATGAGCCACAGCAAAGGTGGGAGTGAAAAAAATCTATGTGTGAATTATGACACAAGCTCTGCCCTGGCTTCGGCCAAGCTTGGATGTTTCCCTTCACAGATGCACCGAGGCGTTTGCTTTCAGCTTTATTCTGCGTTGTTTCGGCCTTTGCGGTGTCTATCTTGTCAGATTTTTTTTCTTTTAAATATGTTTTTCTTGCCAGTGTTGCTCTGCTGCAGCAGCAGTAGCAAGATATTGGAAAGTGGTTTTGCTGGCCTCCGTTGTGTGGATGTACACGAGTGTATGTTGGTGGCTCCACCCACTGAGTGGGTTTGCGTAGTGCTATGACTCATACCCCTCTTCAGAGGCTTGATGGAATTCAACACACACAAACACAGTGGACTGAATACATAATGCAGGCTGCGCTTCAGCCCATATCTGAAATATTCAGACCTGGATAATGTTGTTGTGGTCAGTCGTTTGATTCGCAGATGCCAAGATATCTGACATTCCTCCTCTGACAATATCATTACAGCGTGCGTGGCTGTTACAGTAAACAAAGAGGGTGGTGGGGGGGGGCTTCTTAAACGTGGTCTGCGGTCATTTAAAGTATGCATTTACCAGCATCATCAGCTAGAAGCTCTAAAAGAAACAGGCCCTATTATGTCTTGAATGCTGACTGTAGCTCCAGCAAATGTCAGACGTGTTGTTTTTTTCTCTCACTGGGGATTAAGCTAGAATGCTAATAATGGGGGGGCTTTATAGGGACAGGATAAGGGCTGGACAGCTGGACGGGATTAAAGTATGGACTCCATACTGTTTGACAACACGCAGAGAACTACAGTTGGAAAAGGGACAGTGCCGTATTATTGCATGTGTGACTCATCGAATTCATCTGTTGAATCTTCCATCATACATGTGGGCGTGCAGCTGCTGCTGCAGTCATAGTCCTGCTCAGCTAAAAACAAGGATGAATAAGCTTTGTGAAAGTGCTTACTGCTGTTGACGACAACTCTGATCAGATTTGTTGCTTTGGCTGCAGGTCAATGGGCATCAGATCATGGATGAGCCCATGGAGGAGGGAGAGTCTTTCTCACACTGTGTAAGTAAGGCTGCGCTTTTAAGTCTTCATGTCTGTGTGCATAAAGCGGTGACCTAACCCCACCGCCTCGTGTTTCTGTCTCATTCTGCTAATGTTTGTGTAGGATGATGGGACATATAAGGAGATTCCTATCACCCACCATGTAAAAGAGGGCTGCGAGAAAGCCGATCCGTCTCAGTTCGAACTGCTAAAAGTCCTCGGCCAGGGCTCTTTCGGCAAGGTGAGGGAACTCTGGAGACGAGTCGAGTGGTTTGTTTGTGCCGGCGCTTGTATCTGTCTAAAATTCTCTCATTCTCCTTCTGTCAGGTGTTTCTTGTCAGGAAGATCGTGGGTCCAGATGCTGGTCAGTTATATGCAATGAAAGTTCTAAAAAAGGCATCTTTGAAAGGTAATGCCTCTGTTGTTTTTGGCCATCTCAGCATAAAACAGCACCAGTATTGTCTGTCCACAGTGCTGGATTTCTTTCTGAATGCCTCCATCTGTCTCCTTTGTCTCCAGTCAGGGACAGAGTTCGCACTAAGATGGAAAGAGACATTTTAGTGGAA